GGGAGGAGGGCAGGCTGGAGTTGGAGTGGGTGTTGCTGCTGTCTGTGGCTGGGACCTTGCTTGCAATGCTTTTGACAAACAACTGCAAGTAGGCTAGGATGGAACAGATGCTGTGAGTCCAGCAGTGCAGCAGGAGATTAATCACTCTATTGAGGCGAAGCTTGGGCCGTTTCCAGCAGGCTGGATTTGACAGGCCCCCGTTAGAATTTTCACGCGTTGATTTGGATCTTTGCAAACTGTTGGCGTGTTCTTGGGAGCTGCGGGGGTAGAAGAGGGACTTTTTTCTCACTGCTAATATATTCTCCTCCTTTCTCTCATCTAGGTGTGTGATGTCAAGGAGTGGGCAGTCCTTGGGCCCTCCCCCACACTATTGTAACGTCATGTGCCAGTATGAATATTAACACAGAAACACGTACTTCAGTACTCAGTATCCAGAGAAGAAGAAAGGAGAAGCTAGACGTTGGGAACAAATGACTGGATTGCTTGCAAAACTTTGGGCAGCTAACTTCTTCAGAAATACTCCATTCCACCTATTGTGAAACAGTTAAAAGAGCAGAACAGAAACAGCATTTTTGGGTCTTTTTTTTTTTTTAATTTAACTTTTTTCCCTTGGTGTTGGATCTCAGACTCTCATCCTCACTGAACACAAGCGCTGAACATCAATATGTGTCATGTCATTGTAACATGTCGCTCAATGCTATGGACGCTCCTGAGCATTGTTGTGGCTTTTGCAGAGCTCATAGCTTTCATGAGTGCAGATTGGCTGATTGGCAAAGCCAAGCCTGTGAATTCTGAGGATACGGACAACAGGACTGGAGGGTCACAGGAGCCTTACCATCCAACTTTGGGGATCTATGGGCGTTGCACCAGAATCTCCCATGTGCAGGTTTCCAGACGAGACACGCTTTGTGGCCCCTATGCAGAGAACTTCAATGAGATTGCCAGTGGATTCTGGCAGGCTACTGCTATTTTCCTAGCTGTGGGAATCATGATTCTCTGTGCTGTGGCATTTGTGTCTGTCTTCACTATGTGTGTGCAGAGTGTAATGAAGAAAAGCATTTTTAATGTCTGTGGGCTGCTACAAGGGATTGCAGGTAGGTGTGATGTGGCAGCAGCTAAAATGTTTTGGTGCTATTCTGCTGAAAGAATCTAGGAGGAGATATACAGGTCTGTGTACCGACAAGTCATGTTAATTAGACACACAGATGAATTCCTAAAAGTGGACCTATAGGATCTAAATTCTGTTTGAATAGCTACCCAACAGGAATACATTGACCTGGCAGCAGGATTGCAGTTTGCTGCGTGCCAAAGTGAACTTGCCAAAGTTCCTTTTATAGCAGTTCAAGTCTTTCCACTGTTTGAAAAGTTTGTTTCAGTAACTCGAACTTCTCTCCTTTGTTCATAGTACAGAAGCAAAGCTAATGCTAACACGAATACAGTCTCCCTCCCTCTCTCTGCTTTAATGATTTTTCCATTAGGCAGGAGGCAGTTTGCTGTGTCTGTGTCTGGCGCTTCAGGATTGTGGTGAGAGTAAAGACGGGCCATAAGGCTAGATTCTGTCTACATGCCCAGCTCTCGTTTATGCAGGGAGAGTTCTCTGGACTCTTTCAAGACCACAGTTTGACCCAGGTTCTTCATGGAAATAATGCAATCCCTCACTCAGTTGCATTTGAAATCTTCAGATTTTACCTGTTCAGTGTCCAAGTGACAGAATCATTTCTGCTGAACAAAAGAATTGGCTTCAAGCAATTTCTTATTTGTTGCCTTTGAGTTTGATAAGGTGTTTGGGTTTAATTTGCATATTTTGTGGAGCTTAACAATGCATCCTGTTACAGTGAGATCCAAAAATGTGTGCTGAGTTCTTCACTTCCCAAAGAAAGGTGAGATAGTTTTTACTTAACAAGCGGTAAAGAAAACCACAGGCATGTTACATTGTTTGTATGATGCACTTCTGGATATGATCTCAGAAGGGGCTGTGGACTTCAGATAAAATATCTGCACTGATCTTATGGGGATTCTCTTCTTCTTCGGCTATCCCTTGATATAAAGATGATGTCTGCCGGAGGAGGAAGGGAGGGGGAAATTATCGGTGAGTTTTAAGATGGCGGAAGAGTCCAATCCGTGCTCTGCAAGTTTTTCCACAGATATGACAGGTGGTGCCTTGGGGGGGAGGGCACAGCTGTTGACCAGGTTGTTGTGCACTTTCCTTCCTCCTCTGCCATTTCTCGGCTTCCTGGGCAAGATGGATCTCTTCAAAGCGGGCTGTAGCTTGATGTATGGTGCAGTGCCGTTAAGACTTGTTACCAGCCAGCACTTCCTAGTTTGTAAGTTTGAAGCCACCCTTCTTTAGGTATGCTTTCAGGGTGTCCTTGTAGCACTTTCTCTGTCCTCCGTGGGTCCTCTTACCATGACTGAGTTGAGAGAAGAGGACTTGCTTCAGGAGATGAGTGTCAGCCATCCACACACAGTGGCCTGCCCCACACAGGTGATGTTTCATGATCTTTGCCTCAAGGCTGGTTAAGTTAGCTGCAGAGAGGATGCTGGCACTGGTGCAGCAGTCTGTCTTCCCATCTAATGCAAAGGATCTTTTTGAGGCAACAGTGATGGAACCATTCCGGGTGCTTAAGGTGGCTTTGCTATGTCACCCATGTCTCATACCCATAGTGGAGCATGGGGATAACCACTGCATTGTAGACCAGGATTTTAGTTTCCACCTGCAGATCTTGATCGGTAAAGACACAGCAAAGCAGCTTTCTGAAGGATATGCTGGCACAGCAAATCCTATGTTCAGTTTCTACATCAAGGCTGACTGACTGGGAAAGGTGGCTGCCAAGGTATGGGAAATGCTCAGTGTTTTCCAGGGGTTCTCCACCAATGGTGATTTGTTGGGGGAGGAGAGCAGCTTCTGCTGTGGCAGGCTGGTGGAGCATTTTGGTCTTTCCAATATTAAGGGAGATTCCAGGCTATGACAGGCACCTGAAAAAGGGTCAAGGGTGGACTCCAGTTTGTGCACAACAATAACACAGTTGTCAGCATACTGAAGGTCGGTGATGCCAGTCTTGGTAAGTTTCGTTTTGCTGTGAAGGCACCGCAGGTTGTAAAGCTGACTATCCTTTCAATACTCAACCCCAGTTCTGGGAGGAAGGCAGTCATGGGTGAGAATCAAAATCACAGCAAGATAGATGGAGAAAAGGGTTGAGGCAATAACGCAGCCCTGCTTGACACCAGTACAGATGGTAAGTGGATCTGTCCCTGATCCATTTCAAAAGGACTGTGGCAGTCATCCCACCATGGAGTAGCCTGAGGATGCTGATGATCTTCAGTGGACAACCAAACCTAGCCAGCACCTTCCATAAGGCTTCACAATTGATGAAGTCAAAGGCCTTGGTTAGGTTAATATATGCCATAAACAGCTCCTTGTATCACTCTCTACACTTCTCCAGGATGTGTAGTGGCTTTTTCTCTTTCACCTATAAGCTATGCTCTTGACTAGATATTTTCAAACCGTAGAAAGACTTTTGTCCAGACATGGCTTAAGCTTTGAACTGAATCTCATTTTAAGCAAACCATTTTGCCTCACCCTACTAAATACTCATGTAGCTAACAGTGCATGCACTACACAACTGACTACACCATGAGGGAGGTACCAATTGCAAGTTTAAACTCTTGTAACTGTATTATGCTTTGTGCTCAGTTAAGGGCTAAAGAGACGTGTTGTTTCAGGGTGGTTGTGGAAGGTCACCTGGTAATATGGGAAAGTCTTTGCTTAGCTTCATTCCTGGAACTCCAGGTCTCTGAAGTTAGCACTCACTGGAACTCTACCTCCCCACAAAGGGGTGAGAACAACACCAGGCCATGAGTCCACTCCTCACCCTGGCCAAGAGAGGTGCTGTGTGACCATGGTTCTCCTTCACCAAAGCCCTGAAGCCCGGAATAAAGGTGTTGTGTTTTCAGGCCCAGTCTTGGCTTAAGATGCATTTATCTAGATGATAACTACAAACCAGCAAAGGGGTTTATTTTAATTTTTAAAAATGTGTAGTTTTGGTCTAGTCATTCTGTTTTGGGAATCCAGCCCCAGAAATGGGACAGATGCACAGAACTGGATTACAAACTATATCTAGTTGTAGGTTTTGGCTCTTCACTTTCTTTGTTTTCTAGGGCGCACAGAGTTTTGAAGGGGTGACATTCCTTTTTTATTAAAGGCATATTTGTAAGATATATATATTTGTCTTTTTGTATAAGGCGAGGGTGTTTGGACCTATCACTTAAGCGTCCCTTGAAAAGCTAACCGAGTTTACACCCCTGATATCCTTCCAAAATTTTATGAGGATTCCAATTTTAAAATGTGCAGAAGGTGCATTCTTGTATCTTAGAGGAGTGCTCTGGAGACCAGACATTCTCCTTGCTGAAAAGGGGGTATGTGCAAAGGCAGTTTTTCAGTTGTAAAATATGCCAGTTTGGACAGTGGAAAGAATTGTTATCTCAGGAATTAGACAATAGGGGGGCTAAAGCATTCCTTGTGTGTTAGGTGTGCTTTTTCAGTAGCACTGTGAATTGAAACACTTCTTCCTTCCAATGAAGATAAATCCACACCACATAACCTGGGTAACTGAAAGGTCGTATTACTGAAACTGTTGCTATGAGAAATGCCTTTGCCGGTATTTGCAGCCTGCTGTCTTGTGGCTAGTGTCTTGTTCTCTCAAGATTAATTTTTATTGAATTCATTGCTACTTTGTGCCAAAAGCATGACTGCATCTGGTTAGCTGAAACTATTTTGCTGATGACTTATCCTAGTTGTGGAGTTTAGGGTTTCTTGGATCCTGATTTTTGGAAAGCATCTGAGCAAATGGTTCAAGGACTGCTGTCAGCATGGCTGATCTTTGACAGGACTGTAACAATGCTCTCATTTCTAGGCTATGTAATGGACATGTCAGTTGCTTTTCTTCCCTCCCAACCCCAGATCCATCAGGGATAAATCAAGCCCCCCTGCTGTGCTCCTGCTCCAGCACACCAGGATAGGCCAAGTGGATACAATGGGAACAGCTCTGAGCAGTTTGGAGTATACCTGAACAAGCTCAGGTTCTCTGCCTTGGAAAGTCAGAGCCATGCTAGGAAGACACCAGGGACCAGGAGGGGAGCCATGCAGGAAGCTAGGGTTTGTGACCTTTCTTTGAAATGTGATTTCATCATAGCAAAAGGCTCCTCTAAGTACAGTAGTTGTTTTTCAGCACATGTTTGCTGCATACTTGCAATTATGTAATAAGGGATGGTCTTCAAGCTGCAACCACAGCAAAAGCATTTACAGGCACTCAGAATCTTGGAGACTTAATCACATTTATATATTCCTACAAGGTTTTAATGCAATTAAAAACATACAGCAAGTTAATCTACCCCTGGATTTCATCATGAAAAAACAATAATGGATACCGGACATATTTCTTTCTAGCATCCTATGTTGTGACATGGGTGGTGTCTGAGGTGAAAAAGTAAAATATAGAATTGGATCCTTAAGCCCAGCTCCTACCCTTGCACAAATATGTGGAGCTCCCTTTAGGTCAATGGCAACCATATGCATATCAGGTCTACAGAGAGCTTTTGTTTGTTATAGACAGTTTAATATAAAGATTAATAGAAGAAATCTGCCTCTTGTTTGAAAAGTCGGGTTGGAAGGGACCTCACAAGGTTATCTAGTTCAGCTCCCTGCTCAAGGTAAGATCATCCCTGACTAAACCATCCCAGCCAAGTGTCTGTCTAACCTACTCGTACAAATGTCCAAGGATGGGGAGTCCACACTTTCTCTAGATAGCTTGTTCCAGCATTTCACCCTCACGTCAGAAAATTCCTTCTAATTTCCAACCTAAGATTCTCCTGCTGCAGCTTAAGGCCATTGCTCCTACTCCTGTCCCCTCTGGCAACAAAGGGAAGCCCATCGCATGACCAAGAGCTGGGGTAAACATGAAAGCCATGAAAATATTTGTATCAGGGGTGCTCAACTTCCAGCCCACAGGCCAAATGTGGCCTTCAGAGCTATCACATCTGGCCTGCAGGGTCCCCCATGGGTCCAGAAACTTGGCAGTGGGGGAACAGTGGTCAT